TTGTTGATTAAACTGCGGAAGATCCGATAGTAGCTTGGAATCTCTTAAGCTGACCAAGCCCTCTCAGGTAGGCTAACCGGCAGGCGACTAACCTTCACCGGGATAGACTGCTGAGGCTATAAGCACAGAACTCCACTACTGGAATTGGGTTCCAGTACAAAACAGTAAATCGATTCACTCTCGTATAACCAATCTACCACTACTGATTGATGAAGCTCTAACAACCTAATCAGATTCTATCTATCTCAGGTTGCAACAGAAATCAAGAAAAGATGATCAAACTTCAATTGACTCAATGAATCATGCATCAATCGATTAAAATCAAACAGTATATAAATCCCAAGTCATTACAATCAAGATCCCTAACACATGGAACTAGGGTTCTTCATACCCAAGTGAGAGAAGGTTCTACTCCATAGAGAGAGAGAGAGGAAAACAGAAAACAGAGTAGTCATACTCATAAAAATGAGGAAAATCTGCTCTGGGATGATGATCTTCACTTCTATGATGATCTCCAAGCTCGATTGATAAAACCCAGCTCCAAAATCACTTCTAGGATGTGTTCTTCGCACTTTCTCTCTTTAGGGCTCTGTTTCATGCTCAAAAACTCGATTCCCTCTTCTTTGGCTCAAAATTGGGTTAAAACCCAGATTTTCCCGACCACACGGCCGTGTGGAATCCCAGTTTGGCCGTGTGGATGTCAAAACGCGGTGTTTCACAATGGTTAGTTGGCACCGACAATGGAACAACATCAATAGCAACCCTGACAACCACCACATATGACATTCGAATGCAGCAAAATCATGGAAAGGAAGAGTCTTCTTTTTGTTTACTGACCAACAAACAACTTGTCTCAACTACTCACTAGTCATAGTAACCCATGCATAATGATCAAGACATCAGAATCAGAGGTCAAGCAATCTAGGTCCTTACTGGGATAGACAACATGCAAAATGATCCAATCACTCTCGACTAGAGGGGTCATGACAATTTGATGCAATAGATGTGCATACTCATTCTCTCATCCCTAACTTCTCCTCACCATGACGGTAGCCTCTAAGTTTTAGAGTTCACAAAAAAGGTATCACCACTGACCTGTCAGGAGGACTGAAATAGGTTGCAAAGTAACTAGATAAGGGCTAGGACATGGGGTATGGGATATTTAGGTGGTGGATGCATAGAGTTCAAAGTTACACACTTCCAAGGCAACACCTAAAATCAAGTTGTAATTATAGTTTGTTTGGTTTGAACATTCACACTTGTCCACTAGATATCAACTTAATTCAAATTAGCAATAGTTTCCATACGCGAAAAACCACAGGAATTTCAGGATAAAATCTGGCATAAAAAAGGGTCTTTGGCAAACATATTGAGATGTAATGGGTGGGGTGATCTCATAGACAGGGGGAAGTCACAACTGGATTCTGGAATGTCATAGTCGTGACATCTAGAGTCCAGGCTGTGACATTTGAAAAATGAGAAAGGGATTATTGGAATGTGATGGCTGGAGGTCCAATGTCACGAGATGGGTTGTGACATTCTAATGTTCTCCGTTTTGCCATTTTTTGACTTCTCCGTGCCCCAAAATGAATCTCACACATCCAAGGACAAGAACCAGAAAACCTAGGGTACAAAACTGACTCAAAATTCACTCAAAACGAATCAAACACAAAAACAAAACATAAAAGGGAAAGAAAATGCAAAAAACGCTTATTTTACGTGTTTAGCTAGAGGCAGCTGGTGGAGAGGACTATGGATCCTCAAGGTACATTACCTTCTCCTTGGTGGTCATCCCTCCACCTAGGTAGAGCTTGAGTTGATGTCCATTGACCTTGAAAATGTCACTATGTGGATGAGAGATCTAACTCACGCAATAGGGGAAGATTTGTGCGACGGAGCCTTGACAATCGTGATCCCAGCTTCTCAGTAAACAATTAAAGGCAAAAATTACAGAGGAGAACTCGATTATCAGGCTAGAATTTAGCACCTTCAAATGAGCAACGTGTAGATGCTATGTTCTCTCTTTGTACAATCGCGTGTTCTCATAACTTGATACATCCAATCGTCTAGCTCCAAAACCTATAACTTTTTCTCATTTCCAACAACATTTATATCGAGGTTAAGCAGTTTAATGGCCCAAAAGGCTTTATGCTCTAGCTCAACTAAAAAATGACAGGCCTTGCCACATACAAGCCTAGATAGAAAAGTGCCAATATGCATCTCATAAGTCGTGTGATAGGACCATAGAGCATCATCAAGTTTGGTAGACCAGTCCTCTTGGGATTGGTCTACCTTCTTTTACACGATCTGCTTAACTCCTGGTTTGTCAGCTCGGCCTGGCCACTCATTGGAAGGTGGTAAGTCATAGAGACCTTATGAGTCACGCCATAAAGGGAGGGGAGCTTATCAGATTGGCCTTGGAAATGGGTGTCTCTCATGCTCATGATTGGGTTAGGTGTCCAAACCGAGAGAGGTGTTGTTTCAAAAACTAACAAACGCATCTAGCATCATTGGTGGGCCAAGCTTTTGCTTCTGTCCACCTTGAAACATAATTAGCATTGACTAGAATGTATTTATTACCAAATGAAAGAGGAAAGGGTCCCATGAAATCGATGCCTCAAACATAAAAAAAAAAAATTACATATGATAAACATATTATGAGAAATCTCATCATGGGAAGAGATGTTAACGGAATACTCTTAGTGGTTCCGTTTGCATGAGAAGGTCTTGGCATCCTTGAACAGCATGGATCATAGAAGTCTGACTGGATTCTTCACCGTGAATTTCATCCATGATGGTCTTTCGTGGGGCCCTAGTGGCAGTGGGAGAAAATTTCTTGCATCCCCGCCTCCATGACAGATAACATAATACGCCATCAGCACTGATCCATAACAAGTATGGATCATCCTAGAAGTTATGGCAGATGTTAGATAACAAATTTCACTTGGCATGCATGGTCATCACCTTGGGCGCCTCCTTGCCAATGAGGTAGTTGGCCAACTCTGAGAATCATGGAGTGGCACTCTCTACTAAGAACATCATGAATAGCCTCTCGTCCGGGAAGGAGTCATTGATCTCCTCCTCGAAGTTTTCCACCAAAAATTCTAAATAAATCTCGACAAATTCGCTGAAGACAATCGGTACAAGCTGTATTGACGTATATGATGGTGTTGGGCGCTAGGATAACTAAACTATGATACCAATTGATGAAAGAGAGGATCTTGGTATCCAAAATTGATTACCATTAAGATAGAATAGAATTAAGGAGGATCAAACAAAATAAGGGAAAGAAATAGAATATGAGAAGAGAAAGAATTGAGGTTAGAGAATTTAGGGGCCAAAAGAGAACTTATTGAAATTGAAAGAGATGTAGAACAAAAATTAGGGTTTAGAGAGAACAAAATCAAGAGATTAGAGAGAAAGAATATAAAGAGTTTTGAGATAATATATTAGTTAAATATTCTATTTATTTTTCAATAATCTAATTGAATGAATAAAGACACACAATTAATTTAAGGGCTTCCCTTCTAAATACTACTACTACGTCATTGAATTGGCCGCTTCCCAAATAAAAAAAAATAAAACATCCACACAATAAATCTCATGGCTTCCCTTGTAAATAAATCCATATTATTAGAATGATTAACAACATCAAATTTAATGACTAATTATTCATTCATTAGAATAAGATAATAAAGATAATGGCGATCAATGTAGTCAAAATGACATTTCTACGTAGAAGCGTTTTAGTGATCTAGACGTGTAAAAGCATGAGTTTTTAAGGTTTCAAGCGAGTTTTAACTACAGTAGCCATCAAAATTTATATTTTACGTAGAAACTTTTTGATGACCTAGAAACTTAAAAGCGTAAGTTTTTAAATTTTAAAACGCGATTTTGACTACATTTATGACGATATTGAGAAGAAGGAAGAGACAATTCGATGATATAGATAGAGATTTCAAAGTGGGAGACGAAGAAACTATTATTAATGGATATGAAGATGTTGATGATGAAGCAAACTCAAAGAATTCTAAAATTTTGTTTGCATAATTTTGATATCAAAGAGTACATTAAAGTGTAGATATGGGTTCCCTTGCATGTGTTTTTACTTTTGGTAACAATTTTGGACGATAGATCGGGCAGGATGCCAGAAAAATTTATGATGTATATTTCTTTTGGATTTTTCAAGTGATTAAATGAACCCGATCATCGTGTCGAGCCCAAATCTAGTTACTAATTTGCATTGTTATGAGAACTGAACATGATCAACGGTTGGATTAGTAGAACCACTAAACCAATTATAATATCGATTTGATTCATTTGATTGAACGATTAGAGACGGACCCAATGGTTTTTGTCAGTTTGATATGAAATCAGATGAGCCACCCCCGTTTGACTGGTCCACTAGTTCACAATTTAACCAAAAAAATTAAGAATTATTTTTAATGTAAACTAATATCACCCCACCACATTTACTAATAATATTTATTTCATCATCTTCATTTCTCAACCTCCTTGTCATGTTTATGTCACGCTGAGTACTAACTTGAATTTAATAAAAAGAAATTTTGATTTCTTTTTGTGAGATAATTTGAATACTTTGTTAGAACTTTTTGCTGATAAATGTCATGAATTTAAATTCTTTTACAATAAGTGATAACTTTACTCCTAAATTAGTGTGATATATATTTCTTTATGTTATAGCGCATGAACAATCCTAAATTGGTGACAATTTATTAATATGATTTTTTTTCAGTAGAGCACATATGAATAAATAATTGAATATGAATGAAGATGCCAATTGTGTGCAAGTTTTTTAAAATAATGGAGCTGGGCCGATTTCTGAAGGGAAGAAAGGGCTTTAAGATCCAATCCACCTCCCGGCCGAGAAATGGAGCATACCGTGAACGAAGCCCAATCAGACAAAGAAGAGAAAAGATCGGAAAAGAGAGAGATTCATGCCCAAACCCCGAATATTCGTGTTCCGCAATTAGGGTTTGGTTGTCCGGATAGCAGTCCTATATAAACCTCCGTATTCCCAGAGTTTTTCGAGTCATCATCATCTCTTGCACTTCCCCTACCAAAGCCCCGCAGCTTAAGTGACAACCAGCAAGAGATTTACCAATCAAAGATGGCGGAGCAAACTTTCATCATGATCAAGCCCGATGGAGTCCAGAGGGGACTTGTAAGTGATTCCCGTCCTCAATCGCTTGAACCTCTTTCAATTTTCTGCAAATACATAAAATAGTTTTTTCTTCTTCTGAAGCAAAGTACATAATAGTTGATTCGTTGCTTTTGCGCCGTGTTCTTCTAAAGCTCTGTAAATGAGAAAACAATCCGGTTGATATGCTTAAGTTTTCTACAGGTTGGCGAAATCATCAGCAGATTTGAGAAAAAGGGTTTCTTTCTCAAGGGTAAGTTTGTTTGTTTGTGCGTACAACTTGTTTGTTTGCATTGTGTCCGGTTCAATGTCTGAGCGATAGTCGTCTGCTTATCCCTGTTTAGGTTTGAAGCTGATTTCTGTGGATCGCTCGTTTGCTGAGAGGCACTATTCCGACCTGTCTGCCAAGCCATTCTTCAGCGGGCTTGTTGATTACATCATCTCTGGCCCTGTTGTTGCTATGGTTTGGGAGGGTAAGAATGTTGTTACCACTGGCCGCAAGATCATTGGCGCCACAAATCCCGCCGAATCTGCTCCTGGGACCATCCGTGGCGATTTCGCAATTGACATTGGCAGGTAAATTATTTGAGCTGGGAATTGTTTTTTTGGTCTTTAATCTATTTTTAGCTTCTGCTTTATGTAGGTCAGGTGCGTTTAATTATTCTTTGAACAGAGAATGCAGTCTCAGAGTCTCTGTTTGACTGAGGGTTTTAGCTTACTGTTTTACCTTAGCATTAGGAACACTATATCTCTAACTTGTTTAAGCTACTTCCATTCAAAGTTACGGATCAATCTGATACTGTTCAACATTGGTCGAGTGAATTTGAATGTTCCCTGTTTAGTTAGTTGTCTTCTATCCCCTCATTAACAACGATTTACAAATATGTCCATAATTGCTTGTTCTCAAATCTCTGTGTAACAGGAATGTCATTCACGGAAGTGATTCAGTTGAGAGTGGAAGGAAGGAGATTGCATTGTGGTTTCCTGAAGGCCCTGTTGCCTGGTCAAGCAGCGTGCACCCATGGATCTATGAGAATTAAAGTGATTGCAGCCATGGCTCCCTCTACTCTAGTGAACTAGTTCCTTCCTCCCTTTGTCGAGGAACTTTTTTTAAGAACATTTGGTACTGTATGGCTTGGTTTTGTTTTCGAGCGTGACCGAGCTTTACCTTTTGATGAAACATTTAAGTAGCGTCTTTCGTTCGGGATGAAACTTTTGCTTATATCGTACTGTTCAGTTCTGACTTGGATGTTAAACTCGTGTCTCTTTTATAAAGACTAGCTTTGTGCCCGGCCTTTGCCTTGGTCTACTATGTTGTCGTGTGTTCTATTGTGCAATGTGTTTTTTCTTTTTTTTAGTTGTACCGAAGTGTTTGCATACTCTATTTTAAAGCAGTTTTAGTCACTTACAATGTAGTTAGATTTATATAAGTTAATGGTAAGCTAGCGTGTTAAACATGAAAGCAGTTCTAGCCACTTACATGGATATCTAGGTACAGATAATGTATGTCAACATAAAAATTACATTGTTTGGAGATGTTTGGAAGCGGGTGGCATTACACTTACAGGCCTGCCATGGCAAGTCGCTTCGTGATGGTGTCACCTGAATTGGGTTAGTTTTGGTCACTCAATATATAAGTTATGATAAGTTGCGTTAATATCTTGCCCGTATTTGAGTCTCCTGTGGTATATGAAGATGGTGATCTCTGTATCACTTGGAGAAATGCAGCAGCTAGCTTAACTCGGTGGAGAAGATGACGAATTACAGCTGAAGGAAATAGAGTCTCCACTGAGGGCCGAAACGGTGGCGTATGAGAAAGAGAGCACAAGAGCTGCGCACCGTTTCGGCTAAGCACACACTTAGTGTCTAAAATGTACAGCTTTGCCACTTGGCAGTTAGACATTGGGTAGTTCATAGTTACCGTTATATTAGCCGTTTTTGTACAGTGTTCTTAGGTAGTTTTTACTCTTCTTTTTTACCTAGGTCACAATTGTACAGAGTATAAATTGCTGCTGCAGATGAATGATATGGCCATTGAGCCGCATTCCCACAAACCCTAACGAGCTCATTCCTCTGCAAAACCCATTATTCCTTTTGCAGTGTTTTATCCGATTATAGAATTTCTCATGGTATCAGAGCCTGGTTGGCTTTGATATCTTCTCTTCTTCCACTTTCTATTAACTTTCTGAGTAAACAATGGCAACCTCTGAAGGAGACGAATCACCAAAGAAGAATGGCGGATCAGGGTCCAGATTTGAAGATCCCTACAACAATCACTATTATCTTGCTCAAAGTGATAACTCATTTCTCCCTGTGATTGGGTTCAAGCTTACAGACGACAACTATTTGCTGTGGAGTGAATCCATGGAAATGGCGCTGAAGACCAAGAACAAATTTGGTTTTGTAGATGGTTCAATACCAGCACCAGCTGAAACCGATGATCTTTTCCGCACTTGGGAGAGGTGCAATGGCACTGTCGTGTGCTGGATAAGGAACTCTGTGTCTGATGACATTGTTCCTAGTCTGAGGAGTATCAAATCTGCAGCAGAGGCGTGGTCTTACCTCAAGTCCAAGTTCAGTCAAGGAGACTACATCCGTATAGCAGATCTGCAAGAGAAGGTAGACCTCTCCAAGCAAGGTAACCTGTCGGTTAGACAATACCACACGAACTTGAAAGTAGCGTGGGATGAACTCCATTCATACCTACCTATACCCTTTTGTGATTGTGAAGCTGGGACGTATAAAACTGTCAAGAAGTATGAACAGAATGCCATGGTCATTCGTTTTTTGCTGGGTTTGAACCAAAATTTTCAACAGGCTAGGACTCAGATGTTAATGTTAGATCCTCTTCCTGATCTAGACACTGTGTATAGAACTGTTGTTCAATTGGAGAGACAGATGAATGGGACTAGTCTAGCTGGGGGTAAGACAACAGAGGCCATTGCTTTGGCAGCTCCCACTAGTCAGTCCAGGAATCAGAATTACACTAATCAGAATGTTCAGGGTAATACACAGAAGGATGACAGGAGAGGGGACTTGTTTTGCCGTTATTGCAAAAAGGACAATCATGTTATTGAAGATTGTTGGAGATTAAAGAAGAAGAACAGAGGAGTTGTTGGATCTGGGTATGGTGGAAATGGTTCTGGGGAGAGGAGATTTGCAGGAAGTGTTGACACTGCATCTGAGGGAGGCTCAAACAACTTGCAGCATAATCCTCCCAGCCCTGGAAGTGAGAGGGGGAACAACTCCATTCCTGATGCTCAAGCCCTTTTCACTCACTTCAACACGGCTGTGGAGGAACTTGGAAAGCTCAGGCAACTTTTCAACAATCATCCCTCTATGCAGCAGTCTCTTGGATCCAGTGGTGCTATGTCTTCTAGACCATCTTTCAGTGCTCAGGCTAACTCAGTGACAGTCAGGAACACTGGAAAGAACCCCATGGCAGGTAACATCACTCTCTCCCTGTCCAAAAATGTCCATGATAAGAACTCTTGGGTCCTAGATACTGGAGCTAGTGATCACATAGTTTGTGATATAAACCTGTTTTTGAGATGCAAACCCATTCATGGGATCTTAGTCACTTTGCCAAATGGTGAACAAACCCCAGCCACTCATGTTGGCATTGTCAAACTGTCTTGTGGTCTTTTCCTTACCAATGTGTTGTTGGTTCCTACTTTTGCCTACAATCTGATTTCAGTCAGTCAATTGACAAAGAGTTCACCAGTATCCTTACTCTTTAAATCCCATTTCTGTTTTGTCCAGGACCTTGTCTCTCAACAGAGGATTGGTTCAATCCGAGTAGATAAGGGACTGTACCTTCTGGGAGATTCACAAACACAGAACATTCACCATCCTTCCTTTTCAACACTTTCAACCACCAACAACCAGGAGACAGATTTATGGCATAGGAGGCTAGGACACCCTTCCATTTCAAGACTTGAAGAATTACAGAAGACACATAGTCATATAGTTTTACCTACTTCTAAACACTGTGAAGTTTGCCACTTAGCAAAACAAAAACGTTTGCCTTTTAATAGGAGCTCCAGTTCTAGTGATTCCAGTTTTGATCTTGTTCATGTTGACATTTGGGGACCAGTTGATGTTGTTTCAATTGATGGTTTTAAATACTTTCTTACTGTATTGGATGATCATAGCCGTTGTGTGTGGATTTATATGATGGGAAACAAATCAGAAGCTAGAAAACTGGTTCAGTCATTTTGTGCTATGGCATTGACTCAGTTTGAGAAGAAAGTTAAAACAATAAGATCAGATCAAGGCATGGAGTTCCACATGCCAGAATACTATAAAGAGCATGGCATAGTGCATGAAATGAGCTGTGTAAGAACAGCACAACAGAATGGAAGGGTGGAAAGGAAACACCAACACCTGTTGAATGTTGCTAGGTCTTTGAAGTTTCAGTGTGGGTTACCAGTAAGCTTTTGGAGCTTTTTTGTTCTGCATGCTGCCTACTTAATTAATAGAACCCCCACACCTATCTTGAACAACAAAACACCCTTTGAAGTTTTGTTTGGTGTTCCACCAGATTATAGCAATTTGAAAGTCTTTGGTTGCTTGGCATATGCCAGCAACTTGGATCCTGATAAAACTAAGTTCACACCAAGAGCAAAGAAGGCAGTGTTCATAGGGTATCCTTTTGGTATTAAGGGTTATACCCTTTATGATCTGGAAGACCAGAAAGTGTTCATCAGCAGGGACGTTTTGTTCCATGAAGGAGAGTTTCCCTGTAAACAGAAATCTGTTAACACAGATCAGGTTTCCATTCCCATTAACACTGGTCCAGATTCTCAGAGCAATGAAGAAGATGGTTTGAACTCAACCATTACAGACTTTTTCTTTCCAACGGATCATAATGTTCATGAAACAAATGATCCGGATTATGAACCTCATACACCTTTTTCACCAAATTCACCAGATTTTTCCCCTCAAACACCTCAAACACCTCACTCAACTTCCAGCCACCACTCTGAAACTCCTTCTACTTCTCACTCAACACCTGATTCACCAAGTCATCAGGATTTACCCATTGCTCTGAGGAAGGAACCAAGAAATTCAAGACAACCTAACTGGTTGAGAGAGTACCACACCAGTCTACTGACTACATCAGCTCAGACTCAAGGCAAAGATGTCATCCACCCTATTTCTGACCATCTCAACTATGAAAAACTAAGTCCTGCACAGAGAGCATATGTTCTGAACATTACCACTGACCCTGAACCACAGACATATGCACAGGCTTGTAAAGAAGAGTGCTGGAACCAAGCAATGAATGAAGAGATGTTTGCCTTGGAGGAGAACAAAACTTGGAAAGCAGTTGATCCACCTCCAGATAAACCCATCATTGGCAACAAGTGGGTGTATAAGAGCAAGTTTCTGGTAGATGGAAGGCTTGAAAGACGCAAAGCCAGACTTGTGGCAAAGGGTTACACACAGGTATATGGAGTGGATTTTTGGGATACTTTCTCACCAGTAGCAAAACAGAATTCAGTTAAAATGTTGCTGGCTTTAGCAGCAGTGAAGAAGTGGCACTTGCATCAGATGGATGTAAGTAATGCCTTCTTGAATGGCTATCTAGATGAAGAAGTTTATATGGCATTACCTCAGGGATTTGAGAACAGACCAGATTTGAAAGGGAAAGTCCTTAAACTGGAAAAATCCATTTATGGCCTGAAACAGGCTAGTAGGCAGTGGTTTGTTAGACTTACAGAAGTGTTGTTGAAGCTTGGTTTTGTGCAGTCATATGCAGACTATTCAGTGTTTAAATACACTGGGGGGGGAAGTGTTCTATTCTTGGTGATATATGTAGATGACATGATATTGGCTAGTGATAGCCTGGACTTGATAGCTACTGTCAAGGGCTGGCTTCATGGAGAATTCAAAATTAAAGATCTAGGAGAGTTGAAGTATTTTTTGGGTTTGGAGATACATAGATCACATGAAGGTATTTCCCTCAACCAGAGGAAATTTTGTTTGGAAATGCTTGCAAATGCAAGTATGCTTAACAGCAAACCTGTCAAAACACCTTTGGGCATGAAGACAGTTTTATCAAGCCAAGATGGTGATGCATTATCCAAGGAAGATGGAGAAGATTACAGACACTTATTGGGACAGTTGCAGTATTTAACAACAACTAGACCAGACATTGCTTACCCTGTACAGCAGCTGTCCCAGTTCCAGAGCAATCCCACTACTGTGCATCTTCAAGCCTTGCACCGTGTCTTGAGATATTTGAAGGGAAGTCCAGGGCAAGGGCTTTGGTTTTCATCCAATTCAGACCTTATCATCAGAGGG